CCTTTGATAAAATTAAACATTCATTCATGCTAAAAGCTCTGGAGAAAATAGGAATACAAGGAACATTTCTAAAAACAATAAAAGCCATTTATGACAGACCAATAGCCAATATTATACTTAATGGGGAAAAGCTACAACCAATTCTCCTAAAATCAGGAACAAGGCAAGGATGCCCACTGTCTCCACTCCTCTTCAATATACTCCTGGAACCCTTAGCCAGGGCAATAAGGCAAGAAAAAGACATTAAAGGGATCCGCATAGGGAAAGAAGAAGTTAAACTATCCCTTTTTGTAGACGACATGATACTATACCTTCACGATCCCAAAAACTCCATTCCCAAACTCTTAGAAATCATAAATTACTTTGGCAAAATAGCAGGATACAAAATAAACCCATAAAAATCAATTGCCTTCCTGTACACTGACAATGCACAAGAAGAGAGGGAAATAAAGGGAGCAACCCCATTCACAATAACCTCCCAAAAAATAAAATATTTAGGAATTAACCTAACCAAAGATGTAAAAGAACTATTTAATGAAAACTATAAAAAGTTAAAGAAAGAAATTGTAGAAGACACTAGGAAATGGAAAGACCTCCCATGCTCTTGGATAGGCCGACTTAATATAGTAAAGATGGTAATACTTCCAAAACTAATATACAAATTCAATGCAATTCCTATTAAAATCCCAATGACGTACATCACTGAAATACAGAAAACAGTCCAAAAATTCATATGGAATAACAAAAGACCTAGAATAGCCAAAACAATTCTAGGGGATAAAGACAATATGGGAGGGCTATCCATGCCGAACTTCAAACTCTACTACAGAGCTATAATAACAAAGACAGCATGGTACTGGCACAAAAACAGACCCGAAGACCAATGGAACAGAATAGAAGATCCAGAAATAAATCACAGGCCTACAGCTAGCTGATATTCGACAAAGGAGCCAAAGACATACAATGGAAGAAACACAGCCTCTTCAACCGCTGGTGCTGGGAAAACTGGGCAGCCACATGCAGAAAACTAAAAGTGGACCCCAGCCTATCACCATGCACCAACATCAACTCAAAATGGATTAAAGACCTTAACATTAAACCTGAATCTCTGAAACTACTGCAGGACAGAGTAGGAGAGACACTTGAACTAATAGGCACAGGAAGGAACTTCCTGAACAGAGTCCCAGGGTCACAACAAGTTGGAGTGAGACTCGACAAATGGAACTACCTTAAAATAAAAAGCTTCTGCACAGCTAAATGTATTGCAACCAAGCTAGAAAGACAACCAACTAATTGGGAAAAAATATTTACCAGCAATATATCAGACAAGGGGTTAACATCCTGTATATACAGGGAACTCAAGAAACTAATCCCTCCCAAACCTAACAAACCAATTACTAAATGGGCAAGGGAATTAAAGAGGGATTTCTCAAATGAAGAAATAAAAATGGTAAAGAAACACATGAGGAAATGTTCATCATCCCTGGTGGTGAAGGAAATGCAAATAAAGACAACCCTGAGATACCACCTTACCCCAGTCAGAATGTCCCACATCCACAAATCAGCCAACAACAAATGCTGGAGGGGATGTGGAGAAAGAGGAACCCTATTACACTGCTGGTGGGAATGTACACTTATACAACCACTTTGGAAAGCAGTCTGGAGGGTCCTTAGAAAGCTAAAGATTGACCTCCCTTACGATCCAGTCATACCACTTCTAGGCATCTACCCTGAACAACAGGAACCAATGTACAAGGACACATGCACCTCCATGTTTATTGCAGCACTGTTCACAATAGCTAGGATATGGAAACAACTCAGATGCCCCACCACAGATGAATGGATCCAAAAATTGTGGTATCTATAAAAAATGGAATATTATGCAGCCATTAGAAATGACAAAATAAATAGCCGGGTGCTGGTGGCTCATGCCTGTAATCCTAGCTACTCAGGAGGCTGAGATCTGAGTATCGCGGTTCAAAGCCAGCCCGGGCAGGAGAGACCGTGAGACTCCTATCTCCAGTAAAACACCAGAAAACCGGAAGTGGTGCTGTAGCTCAAGTGGTAGAGCGCTCGCCTTGAGCTGAAGAGCTGAGGGACAGCGCCCAGGCCCAGAGTTCAAGCCCCACGACCGACAAAAAAAAAAAAAAAAAAAAATGACAAAATAATGGCTTTGCAGAGAAATGGATGGAGCTAGAAGGAATCATGTTGAGCGAGGTAAGCCAAGAGCAAAGAGACAAACGGTACATGGTCTCCCTGATAAGTGAATGCTAAATCCAAAATGTTAGGTGATATGACAAAACTAACAGGACTTAAGAAACAAAGAACTCCCACTCATCTGGTTGAACCACTGCTAAATATCCCCATGCTGCTGATCACACGTACGGTGTGTAACATGTGAACACCATTATATGTTATAGACTGTGATAGACAATTTGCTCCAGGAAAGTTAGAATGAACTTGTGACTTTAAATGAGCATCATTATTCCACAATACTGTGAAATTTGGGAAATTATGTAATCATTTAATCACAATCAAAGAAAAAAAGAACCTCGGGGAAGGTAGGGAGGGAAGGGATGGTAGGGGGAAAACAATGGAGGGGGTAACAATGTTCAAGAGGAAGTGTACTCATAACCTCACTCATGTAACTGTAACCCTCTGTATAGTATCTTTACAATAAAAAAAAGAAAGATTAGGGTCATATATGGAGTGGAATCCGAGGATGTTTCTGTCATCATAGGTAATGTTCAGTTTCCTGAGCTCAGCGTTGGCTTACTCAGTTTAGTATGTGACAATGCCTCAAATTTCATTTTTGTATTTACGCAGTCTTATATTTTATGAGCTAGTTCTTGTTTCTTTGTTTGTTTGGATTCTAGTTTTGATGAGATGGCAAAATATGATCTCCCAGCTTCCATTGACTACATTCTGAATAAAACTGGCCAAAAGCAGTTGTATTATGTGGGTCATTCTCAAGGCACCACCATAGGTATGTATGGAGCAAGGACTGGAGGCTGATAGAATGTCTGTATTATGGAGTTTATACTTGTTTTCATATGTGAAATATAAGAATATCACATCGTTCAAATAGTTTCTTTTCATAATGCTAAGTTAAGATCACAGAAGGGACAAAGTAGTTTCATATATGATCTTATATGGAAATTCAGATTTTGCTATAAATGGTCAGATATGGTATGTGTATTTCTTATCAAATTGAAAAAATTAATGTGAGCCCCATCCTTTTATATTTTTTCCGTGGGATGTGGGAGGGTAGAAGAATGTTCTTCCTCCTATGGTATATCCCTGTTGTCACTGTATTTGAGTTTGGTACTTTGCATCTTGTATATACATTTATCTAATCTGGGGAGAGAAAGGGGAATAACAGAATGCTGAAACAAGGTCACAGGATGACCCATTGCAACAATGATACCCACAAGACACTATGTTTGTCGGGGGGCGGGGGGATGGAGTGGGGGAGGTAGGAAAGGGAAGGGGTAATGGGAGAAAAACAAAGGAGGGGTAACAATACCCAATAAGAAATACACTCCTTACCTCTCTGATGTAACTGTAACCTCTCTGTACAGCATCTTTACAAGAAGATAAAATTATTTTTTTTTAAAAAAGAAAGCTTTCTATGGTCAGAGACTTCAAAATGGAAACAAGAAGCTATGCTAACTTTTAAAGCTCAGTGGAGAGCTTGGCAGTGTGGCTAAGTAATATATCACTTGCTTAGTTTATGAAAGGCTCTGGGATATCCCTAGTTCCTAAAAATTAAGTAAATAAATATAAAACTAAGTAGAAAGAGAAGGAAAAAAGAGAGGTAAAATCTACATGAAATACAAGTCTGACAGGTTATACTGAATGATTTTAAAAGCTGTATACGTATTTTATGCTGATTATAAAATAAGTATGTTTTAGAAAAATTGAAAATATAGTAAAGTTTAAAGAAAATGCAAATTATTCATTATCATAACCATCAAATGTCTCTACTGAGAATGTAGGGACCTGCCTCAGTACCTTCTCTGGCTGCTTCTGGAGGGCCTCACAAGTGATGCTAGATCTCTCTTGCCTTTTCTGAGAAGAAAAGTCCTAGAAGATGGAATTTCCTCTTATCTTCCTTTTGTTCCCACAGGTTTTATATCATTTTCACAGATGCCCAAGCTGGCCAAAAAAATCAAAATGTTCTTTGCCTTGGCTCCTGTGGTTTCACTGGTTTTCAGTTCCAGCCCTCTAACCAAGTTAGGACTCTTCCCTGAAGATTTCTTAGAGGTACACGGCTTGCCACCAGATTTCCTCTCCCAACAGGTTTCCTCTTCAGATTGAAGCACTGCTCCTTGGAGGGAGACTCTGCTGTTCTTCTCTGGGTTTGCTCTTAGCAGAGCATTGGTTTTTCTTCTTTCCTTCACCCCTACTTGCTACAGGTAGGGGCCTGTGGAGGCGTAGCTTTTGTGAATACTGCAGCTGTGGGTATGCATAGCTAACATGCTAGTCCAGCTTTCTATCCACTACAGAGGAAATATTATTTTAACATGAGCAGTGCTAGACTTTTATTCCAGAGATGAGCTCTTGTATAACAGTGTGTGGGAGATGGAAGACAGGGTGTGCACGATTTCCACAGGCCCATCCCTAAGCACAAGATGATGATGTAAAGATGCTATTTAATTATATTCTCCAATATGGCCATCAAACACATCAGCCCTCAGCCTCTATCTTTGCAGGTCCAAGTTCTATTCAAGGAGAAAACAGCATTCAAGAGAAGTTGGTTTAAGCCCTCTGAAAATAGAAGGCTCTTTATTCTTGCATTAGATATCTTATACATCTATACAAATGTGCATAATTGAAATCTTGTCCAGGAAGCTACATGATCATGCAGCATGTAATGTGCTTTCTTTTGATAAGGGACCACATATTGGGTGGCACTCTTGTAAGATCATAATAGAGCTAAACATAATAGAGCTGAACATTCACCAAGTGAATTCACAATTCAACCTATTATACTGGTGATGCGGGTATAAACCAACCTACTATATTACCAGCCCTCACTAAAAGTCTAGCATATGCAATTATGTACAGTGCATAATACTGGATAATAATAATAAGCAGCTATTACTGGCTTCTGTATTCATCATAGTATGCTTTTCATCATTATTTTAGGGTATACTCCTATTACTTATTAAAGTTTGGACTAAGGGAATATGCTGTTTGCTGGCAAAAAAAAAAAAAAACCTCACTTTTATAGTCACTGTGGCAAGTGATTGCCCTGTGCCATCTAGGTTGTGAAAGGACAAATTAATCGTCAAATCGGAGACAGGTGGTACTTGCCCTCTGGAGATCTACCCATTAATACTTATGTGCCCACTTGTATTAGTTTGCTAGACTATGAAGACAAATCTGTTCCATGCTTCTCCCCTACTAGTAGTTATTGACAATTTTTGGCCATTCCTGTTGGTGGAAGCATCATTCCAATTTCTGACTTCTTTTTTTCTTTATTTTCCCTCTGTTCCTATCTATCTCCACGTCCACATTTCCTCTTTCCTTAAGGACATCTATTTTTACTTAATTCTTCTATAAAGACCCTAACTCTAAGTAAGGCCATTCGAAAATACTGGCAGTTAAGAACTTTATGTCTATTTTTATAAAGGAGTGATAATTTAACCCCTGAAAATGCCTCCCATTCTCATTTGTCCCTCTAGGTGGTAGACATGAGCAAGAGATAGAATTGATTTGAATATAAAAAGAGATTTCTTCTGTTTCTTCTTGCATACTACATATCTTAAGGACTTAATGATTGCCCTGGCAGTACCTGATCACATATTTGCTGACCACTGGTTAAGGATATTGTAGAGAAGTGTTTGACAATTTTCCCCCCTAAACTATTATATAGGTCACCTGGTGTCTTTTGTTAGAATTCCATTCTACCCTTGTGGAATGAAAACAGCCAATAGTAACAGATAATGTGGCTGTGTTTCAATAAAGCTTTCCTTATAAAAGCATGCAACAATGGGAGCAGGAGGATGGGAATGAGACAGTTTAATTAATGTGAACAGAAATTGAGAGTAGGAGGTTGAGAATGTTCTGGAAATGGATAATGGTGATTTTGCACAACAGTGTGACTACATTTACTGCAACTGAACTGAACACATAAAATTGATTGAAATGATAGATTTTGTACTATTCATGTTTTATCACTAAAAATCCCACGATGGCTCATATTGGTGTACATGCACATAAGTTTCTAGAATAGTGCTGACTAGTCCCAGCACTGATTGCTTTTCCGAAAGTCACTACCATTCATCATGGAAAACTAACTTGGGTTGGCCCTGGGTCAAGGGTCCTGGCTCTTGCCCTTTATAAACATCTGTTACAAACGTATTTAGTTTTTGTATTTCACTCTGAAAATTCAATTCCATTTCTCTAACATCTCTGTACTTGTTGAGTATCTTGGTTTGAATATCGACTTGTCTCCATTTTGCTCCTGGCTACTGGGAGAGACATTGGGTCTGTGGTCCTGCAGGCAGTTGTGGAAGCTTCTATTCCAACAGGAAATACTGAGATGATCTTAGGATTCTTTATATTTTGCAGGCCATACTAGGGCACACAGAAGTCTTTTCTGATAATCCAATCATTAAGTGGCTGAGCATCCACTTTTGCACCCATGCAATTCTGAAGGAGCTTTGTGGAAATTTATTTTTTCTCGTGTGTGGATTTGATGAGAGGAATTTAAATATGGTATGTATAGTTATGTTCAGAATGGATTTAAACACTCAATGGGTTTGATCTTTGAATGTACTTAGTTTGGATGATGTGGGAGACACAGCAATGACCTTGTTAGAGCTCTGAAGGACCTTTCTTTCAAGATCAAGAGTGCTTTCAGAAGGTGGTTATGGTTGCATCTGTCCTCATAGTTGCTTTTATGCTCTGTGGAGAGTTGCATATGAGGATCTGCCACAATTTAAGCCACAATAGTTACATATTTCTTTTTAACAAATATGTGTGTTCCAATTTGGAGTTTCCATTATATATGCACACATACCTTCCTATGTACACACACATATATAAGACACATTCATAAATGCAAATATATGCACATATATTATATGTGTTAGATATGCATTTATTTGTTTTATCAAATGCAAATCATTGGCCAGAAATAACCTCTTCTTTATAAACCTAAATGTAAATTATAATGGTGAATTTTGAAAATAGGTTTGAAAAGTCTGAAATAAAGCCAGGCATTGTCTACCACACTCCTCATAATCCCAGGATTTGAGAGATTTAGGCAGGTGGATCATAGGTTTGAGACCATCCATGGCTAATTAACAGACTCCCCAATTCTGCCATAAAGACTGTAGTGAATCATTCAAAGTAATAACACTTTTTTTTGTTATTGTTAAAGGAAGTGTAGTTGCCATTTACAATTTTGCAAGTTCAGGAGAGCATAAAGAAGAAAATAAAAATGGCCTGTGATGGCTGAAATTTTCCTAATAAAGACCCAGAAACACAACAAATCAAAGAAAGCTTGGACAAATGGGATTGCATGAAACTGCAGAGTTTCTGCATGGCAAAGGACATAGCTAGCAAGATCAATAGAAAGCCCACGGATTAGGAGAAGATCTTCACTAGCCATATAACAGACAAGGGTCTCATATCTAAAATATACTTGGAACTCAAAAAATTAAATCCCCCAACAACAAATCCTCAAAGAAACAACTGCCCCATCAACAAGTGAGCTAAAGATTAAAGAGAGACTTCTCTGAAGAGGAAATAAGAATGACCAATAGGTACATGAAGAAATGCTCAACTTCTCTTGCCATAAAAGAAATGCCAATCAAAACAACATTGAGATTTCACCTCACCCCAGTTAGAATAGCTATAATCAAGAAATCTAGTAATAACAGATGCTGGAGGGGATGTGGCCAGAAGGGAACCCTACTGCATTGTTGATAGGAATGTAAACCTGTTCAACCACTCTGGAAAGCAGTATGGAGGTTCCTCAAAAGACGACACATAGAGCTCCTCTATGATCCAGCAACCCACTTTTGGGCATTTACCCAAATGATCACAAACAAGACCATACTAAAGCTACCAGCACAACTATGTTTATTGCAGCATTATTTACCATAGCTAAGATATGGAACCAACTCAGATGCCCCTCAGTAGATGAATGGATCAAGAAAATGTGCTATATGTATATAAATATATATACACACACAAACACATATATATATGTATATATACATATATAACGGAATATATATATATATTTATAATGGAATTCTATGCCTCCATCATAAAGAATGACACCACTCCATTTGTTAGGAAATGGAAAGACTTGGAAAATGAAATAAGCCAGGCCCAAAGAAACATAGGTCCCATGGTTTCCCTTATTTGCAATAACTAGTATATTCTGGGACAAGTAGAAAAGGTCAAAAGCTATGTGCATATGACCCTGTAAAATGATGTTAAGCAAAATGAACCCCAAGATAGGGACACAAGTGGTTTTTTCTTTCTTGCTATTGTTTTTAATGATTTATAATGTACTATGTGATTTTTTTGTTTCTTTTGTCTGTTTTTCCACCACTGCATAACCCCTGTTTTCACTGCATTTGATTCTGGTGCCCTGCATTTTGTATATACATTTTTCTAATTTGGGGAGAGGAAAGGAAAAAACAAAATGCTTAAATAAGGATACAGGTTGACCCATTGTACCAGTGAGATGTACACGACACTATATTGAAAATGAACTTTACAATGTCAGGGGGAGGAAGCAGGAGTTGGGAGGTGGGGAGGGAAGGATGGAAGAGGAAAAACAAAGGCAGAGGTAACAATGCTTGATAGGAAATGTACTCATTACCTTACTCATGTAACTGTAACCCCTTTGTACAGTGTTTTTACAATAAAACATATATTTTAAAGAAAAGTTTAAAGTGAAAAAATGGCCTGTGATTGCAACCTATATTCTTCCACACTCTCTATGCTTATTCATATTTTATAGGACATAGTTATAGTCAGAGCATATATTTGAGGTTGTAGTTCTGTAGTTTTTAATTCTTTAAACAACAAAATATGTTGATTTTCAGTATCACCTTAAAGCTGTTTTCATTCTTTAATCTGTCATGTTTATCATACAGTCAAGAGTGGATGTCTACGGGGCACACAATCCTGCCGGAACTTCTGTGCAAAACGTATTACACTGGAGGCAGGTAGGCCTTTCAGAAGGGCAGCTTTGTCTGGGAAAATCTAGTTGTCAGAAAATTGCAGTATACATTCATGTACCTCTCTCTCCAGCTTCTCAAACTAAAAGCCATTCTATGTAAAAGTTTGATCTGGTTTCTTTCCTGGTCTGGTCACTGTGTTTGTGTTGCCTGTGTTACCCTCTATGATGCACACATGTTGTGTGTAAGGTCACCAAACAGCTGTGAGGTTTGTCTTTCATCTTCTTTCCTTTCTTCCCCTGCCTTCTCCTTTCTTTTCTTTTTTTTTTTGGGGGGGGGGGTCCGGTCGTGGGGCCTGAACTCTGGGCCTGGGCGCTGTCCCTCAGCTCTTCAGCTCAAGGCTAGTGCTCTATTACTTGAGCCACAGCGCCACTTTTGGCTTTTTTTTCTTTTTGCTTATGTGGTGCTGAGGAATCGAACCCAGGGCCTCATGCATGCAAGGCAAATGCTCTACCACTGAGCCACCTTCCCAGCCCCCTTCTCCTTTCTTTACCTCTTTTACATATTATGTATTTACCTATTACCTATTTCTTCTCTGTTTCTCTTTCCTCCCTTTCATCTGTTTGTCATTGATTCATATTTTTTTGTGTTCTTTCATAAAGCATGATTTTCGAGTAGCAGTAGAGATAGCATGCTGTAATTTCAGCAGTCATCTGTGGACAGGATATGTTTGGAATGTCAGTGGATAAACAGAGCTACACCAAAGATGAGTGTGTAGGGGAATCACTAACTTTGAAAACAGAGTTTTGCTCATTTTTTTTTTTTTTTTTTTTTTTGTCGGTCATGGGGCTTGAACTCTGGGCCTGGGCGCTGTCCCTCAGCTCTTCAGCTCAAGGCAAGCGCTCTACCACTTGAGCTACAGCGCCACTTCTGGTTTTCTGGTGGTTTATTGGAGATAGGAGTCTCACGGTCTCTCCTGCCCGGGCTGGCTTTGAACCGCGATCCTCAGATCTCAGCCTCCTGAGTAGCTAGGATTACAGGCGTGAGCCACCAGCGCCCGGCTAGTTTTGCTCATTTTTATCACAGAAGTAATTTATGTCTGTTCCAGATCCTATATTAGCAAAATAAGAACAAAATAAGAACATTTCAATGAAACAATTGTTCTATAGCTCTTTACAGATTAGAAATATGTATTTAGAGATGAGAGCTATCTCTGAATTCTGCTATATACCTTTGCAGAGCAGATGTACAAGTAGGTTATTTTTCTCCTATTGTTTCGTTTTTTTTCCTTGACAGTATTTCATGAGTTTATGTCGAATGCCAGATAACTTTGAGAGTTTTTTCCAGGCAATTTTATTTAAATACAAAATAATTTGCTGTTAAGCTTCAAAGAAAGGTACTCTAAGTGTTTTATGTCATGATATCCAACCACCAGGCAGGCAGGCAGAACCAGTCTGTGTGTGTTGTGTGTGTGTTTTGTGTGTGTGTGTGTGTGTGTGTGTGTGTGTGTGTGTGTGTGTGTGTGTGTGAGCATGGGCGTGCACGCACTGCTACTAAGGCTTAAACTCAGAGCCTCCATTTTGCACATGGTTCTTTAGCTTATGCTTGTCTCTTTAGCGTAAGACTGGAGTTCTACCACTAGAACCACACCTCTAGGCCCAACTTTCTGCTCATGAATTGGAGATAAGAGTCGCATAGACTTTTCTGCCCAGCCTGACTTTGAACCTCAGTTGCCAGATACCAGCTTCCCATGTAGCTAGTGTTATAGCACCAGAGTTTATTGCTTTTGAAAAGGACATCTTCTAATAAAATATTGCTGTTAAAATGATGAGATTTGGGTTTATACTAATGTTGACAAATGCATGGTTTTAAAAATAGACACTTAGGGTAGAATGTTGGAATGAGAGAGAATGACATATTTTTGCTGGGCTCTGGAGGCTCACACTTGTAATCCTAGCTACTCAGAAGGCTGAGATCTGAGAATCAAGTTTCAAAACTTGTCTAGGCAGACATGAATCCCTCTTCCCTTGGATCAGCTATAAGGAGTCATTTCCTGGCCTGAAGTTCTTAGCTTGTAGAGACTGGAAGGCTAAATATCAGAATTTGCTGTGGTTTAGATGAGGAGCCCCTGGAATGCATATTGTTCCTACCATGTTGACAGAGCACACTTAGCATTTAAGCAATGGCCTGGGCCTTTGAAAGTTCTGTTGTTCACTCATGCTCTTCTTTTAGGTGCTCACAATCCCCCTCAGTCATATTTCAGTTTATCTTCTTTTGTTTACTTCACATATCCTAACAGCAACATTCTACTACATTTCTGAGCATTTTTAACTCCTACTTGATAAACTATATGTCAGAAAGAACCAGTTCTGTGAGTTGGGGTGTGTGTGAACTCCCAGAGTTGCAAGGAGTAAGTCTGAGCCATGTTGAGGCAAATGGGCAGCTACTTTTCAGTTTAGTGAGCAATGGCAACCCAGCTCCTCAATTCTGATGACTTGGCTAAATCCAGTGATCTCTGATGATATGTCACTTTGTTGTTTTATTTTCCTCTTAGATTTTAAAACTTAATAAGTTTCAAGCCTTTGACTGGGGAAGCAGTGTCAAGAACTACCTACACTACAAGCAGGTAAAGGTTTCAGTCTTTTAATGTAAATGGCCCCCCAAATAACATCTCTAGGAAACCAGCCTACCTTATTGAGATTCTGGCTGTATTAGTTACTACAAAATGCCTAGGTGGTATTTGATTTCCTTCTATCCTCTCCAGAAGCTCACAGGTTTGCAGGTGGTGTTGTGGACTGGTCTTTCTCTCTCCATCCTTTGCCTGACTCTAAATAAGAGCCATGCATTAGTCAGAGCAAGCATGGGCACAGGCCCTGCAGACTCAAGTACTTCCAGTTGTATTGCAGGTTTCTGGCTATGGGATCTGGGACATTGTGTAAGCATTTCCCTGCACAGACAGAATTAGCATCTTTTACGCCAAGCACACTAATGTGTAAGCTACTTGATCTGTTTTCTTATTTCATTCTCACAGCATCCCTGTGACTTAGACATGGTCTTCTTTGATTTAAAGATGAGGAGCTGGCGTTGGCGTCTCATGTCTGTAATCCTAGAAACTCAGGAGGATGAGATGGGAGGATCACAGTTCAAAGCCAGCCCTGGAAGGAAAGTCTGTGAAACTCTTATCTCGAAATAACCACCAGAAAACCAGAAGTGGCACTGTGGCTCAATGTGGTAAAGCACTCGCCTTGAGCAAAAAAGTTCAGGACAGCGGCCCTGGCCCTGAGTTTAAGCCATACAACACCCACCCCCGCCATCCCACCCCCCACAAAAGATAAGGAAACCAAAGTTGAATTTTTGTGACTTGCCTCTTACATTCAAAAGGAGAAAGTAGAAGGATCTGGCTTAGTACCTGCTAACTTGGGCTTATGGCTCTTCTGCATCTCATGAGAACAGTGCTTCCCTTGAGCTTTTGTGTTCAAGGGTAGTGCTCTAGCACTTTCAGCCCAAGTACCACTTCCATTTTTCTGGTGGTTCATTGGAGATAATAGTCTCAAAGCCTTTCTTGCCCAGGCTTGGAACCTTCATCCTTAGATCTCAGCCTCTGGAGTAGCTAGGATTACAGGGGTGAACCACTGGTGCCCATGTATAGATTTCATTTTGTTCTTGCAATGGCTACCTGAAATGATTCTGAAAGAGATTTTCAAAATTGAGTCTGTTATTCTCAAATTGGACTTACTGGACAGTGTCTAATGGAGATTATATTTATTGCCGTTTTGAAAACTATAATAAACCTTTCTTTCTTTTTTTTATTGTAGAGTTACCCTCCCATGTACAATGTGAAAGACATTCCTGTGCCCATAGCCTTATGGAACGGGGCTCGAGACTGGCTGGCAGATACCAATGACATCCATATCTTACTGACTCAGATCCCCAACTTGGTGTACCACAAGGAAATTCCTGAGTACAATCATATCGATTTTATTTTTGGCATGAGCACCCACTGGATGGTGTATGATAAAATTATCAATATGATGAAGAAATACCAGTGAGTGCTAGAGACACTCACAGAAAAGGGTTCTTGCCTAATTGCTGGAAAATGAGTGTTTTCAATGATTCTCATTAGATAGAATTAGAAGCACACACTAGCTATGTTTTTTCTAATTATGACGATATATGAAGTTAGGGTCTCAATCATAGATCATGTTTGTAGTCTACTAAAAAATAACACAGAGGTATGAAAAAGGCATTATAACTACTGTTTCTCCTCACAATTTAAAATCTACTTAGTTACCTTTATATACTCAACTATTTGCCCTAGCAAATTATCATATTGGGAACTTTTAAACTGTTAAACTTGTAAATCGGTCACTGATTTGAATGCAATATAAAATGTACCTAGTTCTTATCACCTTTTTCTTAAAAACAAAACAAAAACTCAGCAGTGTTATCAGTTGTACTTATCTATCAAATGACACTTTTCTATGTTTTTTGTACTAACTACCTGGTCAAATCCAATGGCATCCCAGCTATTTAAATCAAAATGAGGAAATGGTTCAACTTGAGCAAAATAGTTTTCTGAAGTCTTCAGGTATAGATTAAACTGATTTTTACATGTCTATATAATAATGAATAGCTTAAAGAGTTATGGAATCTGGGTTATTATGAGTATCTTGATTACATACACTTTTGATGAAAAGTTCAGCAGAGAGACTAAAGCACTACCCTCTCCCACAACTAATGGGCTCTGAACCACTCTCTTAAGCTCAGTCCTGTCCATTTCAAGTCAGAGCCTATGTGAAGTGTCCACACAGAATCTGTGTGCAGGAATGGTTTCAGACTAAAGCTCACCTCAGGGATTCATTGTTTTTTGTTTAGTTTTGCTCATATTTTTAACAATCCTGCTTTGCATGTTGAAGCCCAAGTTCACCTGCCTTCGTGCAGCATCTACATTACTGCTAGAGGAACAGAATGACACTTGATACGTCTTCCTGTTATAGCTACTTAACAACAGTAATAACATTACTTGTCTTTAACTGCCTCCAGGAGAATTATAACACTTGTAACATTTTAAAGATCTTATTTAAGATTTCCAATAAAACCCAGCCTCATAGTCCTGAAGGATTGTGTGTGTGTGTGTGTGTGTGTGTGTGTATGCGTGCTTTGTTCTCTTTCTCTCTGTCTCTCTCTGTTTCTGTCTCTCTGTCTCTCTGTCTCTGTCTCTGTCTGTCTCTGTCTCTGTCTCTCTGTCTCTGTCTCTGTCTCTGTCTCTGTCTCTCTCTCTCTCTCTCTCTCTCTCTCTCTCTCTCTCTCTCTCTGTGTGTGTTTCTGTCTTTATATTGGAGTATTCTTTTTTTTGTCAGAACTTCTGATTCTTTTCCTCTCCCATTCTCTCCCATTAATCCTTCTGGGAAAATTCACTTAACAGTCCATGAATGTTTGTTTGTTTGTTTGTTTTAAATCTCATGGAGAAATGAAAAGAGCCGAAGAGAGCTTGTTTGGAAACAGATTCCTCCATCATCAGCATCGTCTGTCATAATGAAGCTTTGAGTTGAGTCTAGGTATAGTGAACCCCAGAAGGCAGCAGAAACGCTTGTCTAACCAATTCACTCTTTGAAAAAATTAAGTCACTAGAACTGGAACTAACATGTGCCTTCAGCCTCCAAAACACTGGTGTGAGGCCCACGTGTAGTCTCTCTCAGTACTGAACTTGTGTAAAATTGTATTTCTCATTCAGTTTTATAAATTCAGAGTCCAGTAATTTCTGAGAGTGTGAGAAATACTGGGTCAATATCTATGATAGACATGTCCATTTAGCTAAATGAAATTAGATGCTCAGGTCACATCAGGGAGGGCCTAGCAGCTGGCATAACACCGTCTGATTTTTGACCAGAACAGAGTGAGAAGCAGTGAGGGTGGCATCCTAGGAGGATGCCAAACTTCTTCCTAGCCATAGGTCATCTGGCAACTCTTCTTTTTCCTTTGACGAAGGCATTCTGTCCAACTAAGTATGGATACCTGGGTAGCATGCTCACCAGTAGTAGAGAGAGCTTGTCAGAGGGTGGCTTCAATGATGTCGGTGACTTGGCTTCTCTACTTGGAGCCAGTGTTACAGGAAAATACCCAGAGATTCCCTTGAGAAGTTGTGGTCATCTAAGTTCTCACAGTGACACGAGAGAGGGGAATGTTTTATTTTTACCAATCTCTTTTCTTCTTTTCATCTTCTTTCCAAACTTTTCACTAGGAATGCTTCCAAGGACAAGTGGCTAGACCAATGTAATAGGGAAGATATTGCATAGCCACTCTTTCGGAGTTTGTATTTCATTGCTCATTTGGTTTTGGCCATGCCCTCTTGATCTGGATGGAGTTACATAAGCCCTCTCTAACCTTCAGATCCTGTCTGAATTCATGTAGTTTTGCTTCATGATTAGATCACACTCAGAACTTCACCACAGGCCTGTGACAATTTGACAGGGAATCTAGCTCTGTTCTTTTTTTTTGGTCGGTTATGGGGCCTGAACTCTGGGTCTGGGCACTGTCCCTCAGCTCTTCAGCTCAAAGCTAACTCTCTACCACTTGAGCCACAATGCCACTTCTGCCTTTTTCTGCTTATGTGGTGCTGAGGAATTGAACCCAGGGTATCATGCATGTAAGGCAAGTACTCTACCATTGAGCCACCTGCCCAACCCCATTTTGCTTTTTTAAAATGTGTGTGCATGCCAATACTGGGTTTTGAACTCAGGGCCTGGACACTGTCCCTTAGCTTGTTTCTTAAGGCTAGAGCTCTGCCAGTTGAGCCATATTTCTACTTCTGCTTTTTGTTCATTAATTAGAGAGAAGTGTCTTACTTTTCTTTCCTGGCCTTGTTTTGAACTAAAATTTTAAATTACAGACACCAGAGTAGCTAGGATTAAGGCATCAACTACCAGCACTTGGTCTCTATCTCCATTCTTTATTTGTGTGAACATCTCCGTTGAACACAATTATCTCCACAAGCCCTGTAGTCCAGGAGAGGTCCCCAATCACCTCAAGTGCCAACTTCCTGGGATTCATTATGTCAGACAATGACTTAGTAGTTCTAACAGAATTACACAATTTGAAGTCTCCTGTGCACATTCCATACTTGGTTAATGTATTTGATATACATGCATGTGACCCTGTATATTTTTACTTATATATTTACAAATTAGACCTAACTTGCACATTTTAGAGAAAACATGCATGCTTTTTCTCCCTATGCTTCATTTATTTTACTTGTCATTTTCCCATGTGCATTCATTTCTTTGCAAATCATGTAAGAAGATACTGTATTTGAATTGGACTTTTAAAAAAAAAGTCACAATAATGAAGAAAATTACTTTTTGGATTCGCCACAAGAGGGCACTCTCAGATTTGCTAAGGAATTTCCCAAGCCTCTTATTTTCTCATTTTTTGGTGGGAGTGATGTTTGAAGAGGAATGTAAGGGTTTTATTCATGTTGTCTGGGCTGATGTCCATCTCCTAATTTTCCTATCTTTTTTCCTAAGTGCTGGGATTACCTAGCCCACCTCCTAATACTCTCAGTTAGGAGGAGGATTTCTCTCAGGCCTTCATCTAGGGAACATAAAGATTGATGGGCTGGCTAATATTTTGAGGATGGGTAAGACCAGCTATGACTATGATCATTATCAGGATTATGATGGAAATTTTCTTGTGATATATAACATCTGAAAAATATTGTCAAGGAATAGCTTTCTCCCAATTCTGATCTGAAAATAAGTACGGCAGAGTGATCAGAACCTTGGCTTTGGGTACTAGGTAGATTGAGTGTGATTAAGGTTTAACCTAGGATTCAAATTAGTGACATCTGCAAAAATGCAGGTTATTTCTATCATGTGTTTGTGTCTATTAAAGGTGTTCATTTATTAAATGTGACATTTAAAATGAACTATAATTTGATGACTCGTCATTTACTTTTTAATGCAGGGAGAGATCCAAAATAATCTTTTGTGACAAATGAAAAGCAACATCAGAAAGTAATTATTCTGATTTTTTAAAAGTTGTCAGTCACTCATTCAAGAATATTTATTGCATTTTGATTGTGCATTGAATAAATCTTATAGTGTGATTTCAAGATTACTTCCAAACTATGCAAGTCAATCTTTCTATTTTTTGTATGGCTGAAAATAATGCTTTGCATTTTACCTTGTGTCTTTCTTGGTTTTTCAAACCTTCTCATCAGGCTTTAATCATTGTAGCAGACCCTTTAACAGACAGTGAGAATCTTGTTTTCTTCTGCTTTACAGACCATGGTATGCCTTTTATTATTGCAAATGATTTTTTTTTGTTGTTTTCAACTTTTTTTTGGGGGGGGGGGGGTCCGGCCGTGGGGTCTGAACTCTGGGCCTGGGCGCTGTCCCTCAGCTCTTCAGCTCAAGGATAGCGCTCTACCACTTGAACCACAGCGCCACTTTTGGCTTTTTTCTTTTTGCGTATGTGTTGCTGAGGAATCGAACCCAGGGCCTCAGGCATGCAAGGCAAGCACTCTACCACTGAGCTACCTTCCCAGCCCTATATTTTCAACTTTTTAGAGAGGTTGATGAGAGTTCCCACAATAAAAGTAGAACAATAAAAGTAGAAATGGCTGCTTACCTCTGGCATGAGAGGTCAAAATTACATGTCTCAAAGTTTTCATTAACAGAACCCTCAAAGGAGTGTCACCAAATTTAATAGTGCTTTTTGTATTAATTTCCTAAACAATGCTTTCTGAATCTTGTAAATTGGTGCATAAAAATAACTCTAAAGTCACCTTCTGACATCAAACTCCTGTCTAATACTTAGTGACAATTGCCTTAGTTTCATTCTTGATTTGTCTTTAGTTTCTATTTAAGCCAAGTAGTCTTGGCATTCTGAGACTGAACCTTTAATCTTCATGGTGCAGGGTTATATTTTGACCTTTTAGATGGCTCCAACTCTGATTCTTATGGGTTATTCAACACTATGTATCTCTGAGATCCAAGAATAACTGTCCCAGGTAGACAGTCCCACTTCACACTGGTAGGTAAAAACAAAT